GTGATAAATAAGACCGGAAGACCAAGATTTGACGATAAGAATGACGATCACAGTACGCATTTATGACCATAAATCTGGGAATCTGACCATAATCTATAGGGAACCATTAACATTTTTCTGGCATTTCCTATAGCCGCTTTTTACGTCACCCACGGCATGAATCAGTGGATGGAATTTCTTATTCTGCCACTTCTTTTTTTCTTACACTCGGTTGCAAAGTGCAAATGTGTGTTTCAGACTTTGTTCACATACGCAAATACCCGTGTGATGTGCCCGTGCCATACTTAGTTAGTTTTTTTAGCTATTGCGTATTTGACGCAATTGCACGCCTCATAACGCGAAGCGTTATTACGTAGTGCTTACACTCGACACAATTTTGTGTTCTTAAAATGCCTCTATCATAACCATATTGCACTTATACGATAATATGAGTAGCCGTATATCAAGAAAACACTAATTAATTAATCCATCTTATATTTCCTAAAACAACAACTTTTATATGTACGCTTTTTATTGCTATTAAAAATTTAAAGGCGCTTTCATATTTTTTAGCCCTTTGAACCTTTGATAGACAAATCTATACTTAATATAATAAAGCGGAAGAGTTTTTTTTGCTTTTTTGTTTGTTTAAACGCGCTAATCTCTGGAACTACCAGTCCGATTTGAAAAATTCTTTTTGTATGTTATAGCCAGATTCATGTGGAATAATATAGGCTATCTAGCATTAAGCTATATCACTCAGCTAGCCTTAAATATGGATATTTGTTAAGCAAGTCAGAAGAAAAAGCACTCCCGAAATGATTTATCTGCGTACGCTGGTGTTATCGTTAGGGATACGCAAATACAATGTTCTAGAAAAATATAGATCTTTACTCCGTCTAAAAAAAAGTCCGCGATACCATATGTCTATTTCTTATACATGAGCCATAATTAGGTATTTAATGACAAAAAAATATTGAAAATTTAAAAGTGATTTATGAGCGTTATTATTAAGGCATGGCCTATTTATCCTTACGAACGAAAATTACTTCATCATCAAGACAATTTTATGAAGATAAACTTTGTTCTTTATACCATGTTATTTGGACGCATAGTTTAAGAGGTAATGTTAAAATAATTCAATACTTGGCTGGGCGCGCGAACGACGCATAAACCCTAGCTGCCCGGTGAGAACGTTAGGGGGGGGAGCAGGATGCTCAACCGGGAGGGGGAGGGAAAGTGGATAAAACTTACCTTCACTCTACATCATACATAATATGACGACAGATAAAAGTACTCCATTAATTATGCCAATTTTTCCATCCATTGCTATCTATCGATCACTAATAAAAAACTAGATGCACAATCCCATATAAAAGTTCTCTAAAAACTGTCGCCAAATGTTTTGACGTAATTCTAGTTGATATAAATATACATTAATATAAATTCAATCTTAAGTGATATGCTTAAAGTTGTATTTACAAAGCAACGTACAAAAAGCAATAAAATTTTACGACCGAGCCTCTTCGCTTGGACTAGGAGAGTGGAGTCGAACTGCACAATATTTTTTGTTACTGTAATTATAATTTTACAATTTTTTTAAACTTGTTTTAAATAATTGGTCTACTTAATAAAGCATATTCTATTCTATTCTATGGTGTATATGTGTAATGGTTATATTATTACCTGAATGTAAATATGCTTTTGTATAAATGAATGTGGTCATTTAGTAATGAAAATAACTGAAACAGTCATAAATATTTATTTATTCTTTATCTTGTGTGAAAAATTTAAAGATATTGCTTGACAGACAAGTTAAATCTAAATATAATAGTTACTAAATATAAAAAATAAGTACAGAAAATTCTTGCAAAATCTAAGAACATTATTGTCCAAATTTTGACGTAATGTTCATATTTACAGATGTTTAAAAAAAAACGGATAAGACTGAATATATTGATTTCTTATATTTACGCGTTCACTTCACATTTAAATGAAACTAGTTTTACAGATTTTAACGCGTATACTAACTTATTATATATTCAGTAAAGAACTCTCATTAAACAAAAAAATACAATCATACATAAATAACAAAAAAAATAAATAAAAAAACAATAACGTTCCCACAAATGGAACAGAATCAACGCATATACCTCGAACAATGACGACTTATTTTATTACGACTTAATTTAAAAAATACTTTTTCGGTGATTTCTTGACAAAATATCAGTATTTACCATACAGTTATAACAATTAAATAATGTTAATATTAATATTTACCGAAAATATGAAATTCCACCCTTTTTTAGCGTTCTGGATGTGTGCTTTTCACACTTTTTAAACGAGCACTGAGGCATGTTTACCGTCGGAACATTCGAATGCTACTAGATTAAATGTGCACCTATATGTTCGAGTGGGTGCACATTCGGTTATGCCATTTTTTGTCACTGATTGTGTATCTAGTTTTTTATTAGTGATCGATGTTGCTATCAAATAAAATATTTAATTGCAATTATAAAATGTTTGAACTAGGTCATGTCGCGCACCACCGTCACGTGATGACGCGGGTGAAACCGCGGGGCACAGCTAGTGAAAGTATATACGATACTTATAACAAAAACACAACTTTTAAAATTTTTGTCTGCCTCTCTGTCTGTTTGTTCCGGCTAATTTCCGAAACGGCTGGACCGACGAGACTTTCACTGGCAGATAGCTGACGATATATAAGGAATAACTTAGACTACTTTTGTTTTAGAAAATGAATTAGGGTACGGCGCAAAAAAATTAAAACCCATTAAATCCATATTCCACGCGGGCGAAGTCGCGGGGAACAGCTAGTGTACAAATATACGGAGTACCATACAGGTACAGCCTATATCGATTTTATACTTTGTGTAATCGATTTATTTTGGTAATTTAATTTTTATTTTAAAATGTTGGTATTTTTTCATCAAAATTAAATTAAACGTCATCAGGTGTACACTTTTGAATTTTCCAAACTATTTGAAGCTTATTGTGGCGCCGGCCCGGGTAATTAGAATCGAAAGCAAACGGATACACGCAATGTTTAATTTGAGGTCTTGCGTATTTTCACACTTCCATGTTTGTTTATGTAAATTTATTCAATAAAAAAACGGACTGTTTAGTGTAGAAGGGTCGAATTCACTAAAGATTTCTAAATTTAGACACCAAAACCTATTACTTTTTTCTGAGCAAATGTATAAAATTTTTAATTGAAATCTATAAAAATAAAGTGCGACAAAATCTTTAAAAAAACCTGTTAAGGCAACATTGTTAAAAAGCTTACTATAAAATAGACAAATATATTTGGGACAATTGTGTGTGGAAATTATTGTTACTTTGCCCTTGCAACAAAGACATTTAAGTAACCTTGCAAGTCCTCTGGCTAATGACATGTTGTTAAAACTGACATTTAAAAATTATCTATACATTTTCTATACAAAGAAATAAAATTCAAGTGTCTGTTTGTAATGTAATGTAATGTTTACTAAATACATATAATATGAAAGTATATACGGTACTAATAACAAAAAAAAATTATCTCCTTCACCAAGGTTTGCCTGGAAGAGATCGCTGTTTAGCGATAAGGCCACCTAATTGTACATACATTTATATATTTAAGTTTGCTGTGTTGTGTAGTATTTTGTGTGCAAGAAAGAGTATAAATAAATAAACTATTTTTAAGATTTTTGTCTGTCTGTCTGTCTATTTGATCTGGCTAATCTCCGAAACGGCTGGACCGATTATGACGGGATTTTCACTGGCAGGTAGTTAATATTATAAGGAGTAACTTAGGCTACTTTTATTTTAGAAAAATAATTAGGTTTCCGCGCAAAAAAAAATTAAAACGTAATAAATTCCACACGGAAGAAGCCGCGGGTTACAGCTAGTTAATATATACATTTTATTTATTAGGAGGTTGTAGGTTACTTCTTGTCTAACAGTTCATCTTGGTATGTATCACTCTATTACCAATTTCCCGCCAAAACTGTGTTCCGGTTTGAGGGGTATAGAGACCCACCATAATTACAGGCCATGAAGCATCTTAGTCCTCGAAGGTGACAATAACGCAACATGAAGATATCTTTGTTTGAAGTTAGCGCCCATGGGCTGCAGTAGCCACTTACCATCAGCTTATTTGTCGCTTCAATTTTATAAAAAAAAAATATTGTTACATAGACCGTGCATTGGCGGTGTAAGAATATCCACTAACCCCATATGATATGGGCCATATCGTCCTGTCGGTGTGGTAAGAGACGCTGGAGGAAACAAACCAGGAGATGGGCAGAAGCAGCGCAAATAACCACTATAAAATAAACGACTGCGATTCCCAACCCGTTTGCTAAGCGTGACTATAATTGTACTATGGCAATAAATATCCCATCCATGAGTTAATCATGAGTTGGCATTATGTTCAGCAGTTGACATTTTACAGGCTGTAACAGTAACAGCATTTTATACGTGTTAGAGCCATGCTGCAACTATATTAGTAGTATAGTTGTAGCACGAATGGGTCGACTCGACCGGGGAAGGACTACGCTCTGGCTTACGTCTCTGTGTTTCGTATGGTGAGTGTAAAGAACCGGAGACCCTTTTTACTGGAAAAGAGGCATTCCATCTTAGTCCTCACGGGTGACAACGCGTCGGCATTTTGATTCGCAAACGAGGATAAATGTAGATGTCTATGGGCAACAGCAACCACTTACCATCAGGTGGACTGTGTGCTCGTTTGTCACCCTATCCTATAAAAAAAAATTCCATGGCATTTAAAAAAGACCTCAGAGTTTCTTGCCGTTTCTTCTTTGAGAAGGTCTTGTTTTTACTAACAGGTATATGTATGTTGATATTGATTTTAATATACATCTATTGTATGTATGATCTTGATATGTACATACATATATTGATTTTGATGTTGTTAAGAACTTTATGCTAGCGTAAATTGAATAGAAATATTTGACTTTAACTTTAAATCAAAAAATTTCTACATGTCTTCTATCCAGGTAAGTGCGCGACACACGCTATCGTCTACGCTATGCTGATATCCAAGGGTGTGAATCATGGACTACATACGTTCGTAGTTCCCATCAGGGATCCGAAGACCCTGAAACCGTATGCGGGGGTTATTGTTGGCGATATTGGAGAGAAGATCGGACTTAATGGGGTCGACAACGGGTAATCATTTAACGATCATTTCTGATCATTTCTTATCCATCTAAATCAGTTCACTGCGGGGGATAGGTCTGTCCTATATCAAAGATTTTTTAACTTAATATAAGCCAGTGTTTGACTACAATCCCACTTGGTACTGAGTGGTAATGAAGCCCGTTGGATGGATTCATTATCATAATTTATCAATCTCACTCGTTTTTTTTTTATTAAGGTGACGCAGTAAAATTAGCTTATCAGATGGCAAGATTTTTCACAACCACTTTACTCGAAACTTGATTTATCGCATGACAAGATCATCAGATTAGGTAAAGCTGACGCGTGGTGGTGGTGTAAGACATAACCATATACCATCCATAACCTCTTCACGAAGTTATATTTCCATTGGTAGAGTCACGCTGCAATTGTTATGGCTGCGGCAAGGTTGGCGCGACCAGGAAAGTAACAACATTGACAAAATACCAGTATGAAATAGCAATATAACGCCGCTGTGTTTCGTTTGCATGCCTTGTGACGCGTCTGCATGCCTTGTGAATGTGGTTGGTTGTGATTGGTTAACTAAATTTTAATTAAATTTAGATCTTAAACTGTAACTGCCCCATTGGAAAAAATAATTGAAAAAATTGTCTTTAGTATATGCCAGCTAGGGGTAGTTTCAAAGGTGAGATGCATCTGATACAGCGATCGCCAAACTGCCTGCCAAGCGTGATGATTTCTGATGATTTTTGATAGATTAACGTTTAGATATTTCGATTCCATTCATTTTTATAGTTGTCTATAGTGTTAACGATCGTCCTATTGGCTAACCCCGCGGTACGGCAAACGCCTCGACCCCCGTAATCATGTGTACCACAAAGCTCTCGTAACGTCAGGAATTAAAAATAAGTTGAAATTAAACGCAATAAAATCGGAGACTTCTTTATATACTACAAGATGGGCTCTGCGGCCTTAGTACATTGCGCATTAAATTAAGGTCAATTCTCCGTAACCGATCCGACTGCGAGCGGACGAGATGACTAGTTTCTTGTTTTGTTAACCGCGAACGTTATTTTCGATAATCTAACAATGATTTTGTTTAATGTAATTAAAAAAACGCTGTCATTATTTATGTGCGCTCTTTGTCAACGTGATTTGAAGTTATTTATATCTTCTATACAAATAAATAAAATTGAAGTGTCTGTTTGTAATGTCAAAATAACAGCTTTTTACTAAATGCATATGAAAATATACTGGGTGGCGATTAGGTTATCACATTAAATAACACAGCGGTAAATAAAGTTCATATAATATGTCTGTTAAAATAATAAAACAATCAATTCAACCAAAAATAAAAAATGCATCTTTCAAACAAAGTAAATTGACACGAAATATATCACCTTGACAATATTAATTTACTGACCTGAAGTGACCTGTAAAAGCGGCAACGGTGCGGCTGGTGCGCAGTGCTCACGCGGCATCGACTTAGGTAATTATTTACCTACACTTTCCCATTCATAGGTAGTTAAGGTAAAAAACGAAAAAAAGCGACTACTCTCTACTACTACTATCTACCGCGACTAGAATGTTAATTGATATATATTTTGTTAATTGTGTATGTTCAAAGAACGTTATGTAGGATAAGTCTTTTCATTTGATGTGATAACTTTATCACCACCCCGTATACGATACATAATAACAAAAAACAATTTTGTCTGTCTGTCTGTGTGTTTGTTCCGACCGCGGGAAAAAAAATTAAAACCAATGAAATGTAATCGTAATAAATTCCACGCGGGCGAAGTCGTGGGGGGACAGCTAGTTTCAAATAAGTATATAACTTTATATCGTATTTTTTGTTTAAAAACAGTAACTGTCGTAAATGAAAATACATATCGTAGCATATTTACCGTGCCAACAACCCACCCGCGCCGGCGCCCGCGTGACATAATTTTTGTTCTGCATTGCTGGTTTAGTGGTATACTTAGAAGTTTTTTTTACGTGGTAGAGCCATGCTGCAGCTATGTTAGTTGTATAGTTGTAGCACGAATGGGTCGGCTCGACCGGGGAAGGAACACGCTCTCACAGAATACCAGCGTAAAATATTTTTTTTTTTATAGTAGAGGGGGCAAACGAGCATGCGGCTCACCTGATGGTAAGTGACTACCGCCGCCCATGAACAACTGCAACACCAAGGGAATTGCAAATGCGTTGCCGGCCTTTTAGAAAGGTGTAAGCTCTTTTCTTGAAGGTTCCTAAGTCGTATCGGTCCGGAAAATTCGCTGGTGGTAATTGATTCCACAAGGAAGTTGTGCGAGGGAGAAAACTTCTTCTAAATCGCACAGTGGTGGAACGCCAATCATCCAGATGGTATGGATGGTAACGCGAGTTTTGTCGCGATGTACGATGGTGAAATTGAGCGGCTGGAATTAGTCCGAACAATTCCTCAGAGCACTCCCCGTGATAGATGCGATAAAATACGCAAAGAGATGCAACATCTCTACGCAGTGCCAGTGTGTCCAGCCGATCAGAAAGAACTCGTTCGTCGACGATTCGAACCGCTCTGCGCTGGATGCGGTCAAGTGGAAGGGGCTGGCACTGGGGTGCTCCGGCCCAGAGATGAGAACAGTATTCCATGTGAGGCCGAACTTGCGCTTTGTAAAGTTGCAAGCGATGTGCCGGCATGAAATACTGTCTCGCTCTGCTGAGCACGCCAAGCTTTTTAGAGGCCAATTTGGCCTTCCCTTCCAAGAGACCACGAAACTGCACATTATTCGATATGTCGACGCCAAGGATTCCGATACTAGCTGAGGCAGCAAGGGGAGTGCCTTGAAACTGAGGAGATACGACAAAGGGGTTCTTTTTAGCGGTAAACGCGCAAACTTGTGTCTTCTGGGGATTGAACTAGACTAGATTTAGTCGGCCCCAATCCGAGACTTTGTTAAGCAAAGACTCGACTTCAGACACAAGTTTGTCCCGGTACTCAGCGACGTTTTCCCGAGAAATATTGGCATGGCCGGTATATAAGGCATCACCAGTGCTGTCGTCTGCATAGCAATAAATGCTACCAGTTAGCAACATATCATTGATATACAGGAGAAACAGCGTTGGTGATAGCACGCAGCCTTGTGGAACACCAGCGTTGATAGGCTTGAAATCAGAGCATGCACCGTCTACTACGACCTTGATGCTCCGATCAGCAAGGAAACTGGTGATCCATTTGCACAATTTCTCGGGAAGCCCATAGGAAGGAAGCTTCGAAAGAAGCGCTTTGTACCAGACCCGATCGAAGGCCTTCGCTATGTCCATACTAACGGCCAATGCCTCCCCCTTGGACTCTACTGCTTCCGCCCATCTATGAGTCAGATAGACTAGAAGATCATCAGCTAATCAACCTCGACGAAAACCGTACTGGCGGTCACTAATATCGGATATCAGGTCTCCGTCGATGCCCCTCTGGGCTCTTCGGAATATTGTCTGATCCGGAGTACGGTGCCACTCACGCTCCAATCGTAGTTGCGATCTGCAGCATGCCGCCGTGATTTGCACTATAGGTCAGCTGATTGGGACGGGATGCGGTCTTTTTTTGCATCCTACCCTTGGTACCCTTGGTACCCGTGGTTTGCTTCTCGCCGGAAGATCTCAGCGTTGTTGCCGATTCTGTTGCTGATGTGGTACTTCAGGGTATGGAACTTTTTATTACATCCTCTGTGGTGCCCATCGGTGGCAGATCCCAGCCATGGTTTGGTCGCTCCTGTAAAATAGCATCACGCTATAAGCAGGAGTGCCACCGGGCCTGGTCTGACGCATCAACGTCTCGGGATGTAAACACCAACGCACTTAAAAAGAAGTATAACTCCGCCTCCAGGTCCTGCAAAAGCGTCATTGCCAAGGCAAGGTCTGAGCACATCGGCAGAATTGGCGAGAAGCTAGTTCGCCTTCCTTCGGGACCCGTGCATTCTGGTCTCTCGCCAAGGCTGTCCAAGGGAACTTCTGTAAGCCATCTCTTCCATCTCTGCACAGAGAGGACGACTCACTGGCCCATGCCGCAAAGGAGAAATCCGATCTGTTGAGCTCTCTTTTTGCGTCCAACTTGACTCTAGATGACGGGGGGAACACACCGCCGACCATCCCGCGATGTGAGTTCTCCATGCCGGATGTGCGGTTTACACAGCGCTCGGTTCGCAAAGCACTCTTCTTCCTGGACGTCAACAAGTCGAGTGGGCCCGATGGAGTCCCTCCCATTGTGCTGAAGACGTGTGCTCCGGAGTTGGCACTGGTCTTAACGCGTCTTTTGCGGTACTCCTACTCCCAAGGCGTAGTCCCGAATTCATGGAAGACAGCTTTGGTCCACCCGATCCCTAAAAAGGCGACAGCTCAGACCCGTCCAACTACAGGCCTATTGCCATCACCTCCTTGTTCTCCAAAATAATGGAATCCATTATAAACTGCCAGCTCATGAGGTACCTTGAGGTAGCTTAACGCTGCCGTGTTTCTTATGGTAAGTGTAGAGAACCGGAGACCCTTATTACTTGAGTTGAGGCGTTCCATTCTAGTCCTTAAAGGTGACAACGCATCCATATTTTCACTATTAACTGAAGATAGATGTAGATGTATGTGGGCCACAGCAACCACTTACCATCAGGTGGACTGTGTGCTCGTTTGTCACCCTTATCCTATAAAAAAAGTTCTTGAAATGCGTTAAGTAGTTTTTTTTCTTTTCAGATTTGTAATGTTCAATAACTACCACTTGCCTAAAGAAGCAGCTCTAGACAAACTGGGAGGTGTCGACGATAAGGGCGACTATAAAACGCCATTCCGGGACCCTAGTAAACGTTTTGGTGCTTCTTTGGGAATTCTCTCAGGTAAGAAAGACTTTGCAAGTATTTTCTTGATTTGCCTTGTTACAGCTTACGACTGCAAATTCATTTTTAAAGACTAGTAGACGGGCTCTGCGAACTTAATACATTGCGCCCTGAGTTATAGTCAATTTTCCGTAACTCCTTTAGTCGACTGCGAGCGGAAGAGAATAAAATGGATAAATGTGGTAACGTCATGATCCAAATCCACTTGGATTCATCAACTTACACCATCTCTAGCCAGGTTGTCACAAAATCTAGTGAGGGGCAGCCCTACACACTTCGCTCAGCTACGAGTACGCAACTCAAAAACCTTTTTAAAATTTTACTTCCTCACGCGGACAGCACTGAAGGACCACATATCAGATCAATACTTCATCACTGAATGACGATCATACGTTTCATTAATTACAATCGGCTATATTATAGTTCTAGCATAAATGGGTACACTTGACCAAGAAAGGACCACTCAATTACAGAATACCAGCGTGAAATAGCAGCTTAATGCTGCTGTGTTTCTTATGATGAACGTAGAGAACCGGAGACCATTTTTACTGGAAATAAGGCATCCCATCTTAGTGTACAGGGGTGACAACACATTTGTTTTTTTGTTTCTTAACGTAGGATATTTGCAAATGTCTATCGACCTCAGCATCCATTTACCACCAGGTTGACTGTGCTCGTATGTCATCCTTACTTTCGTTTTCAAGTTTTGAGGTATTCTTGACGAGCAGGTGTGTCGTAATCTGCCGAAAGTTGCACAAACAACTGTCGACGGCCATTTGACCTCTCGGTCGTTTTTGGACTTACGTAGGACATGCATAATAATGATAACATAATTATAATTTTACAGGCGGCAGGGTTCATATCACTTCAATATCAACCAACTACTTGCAGAAGGCTATCGTAATAGCGATTAGATACTCAGCGGTCAGAAGGCAATTTGGTCCTGAAAACTCCACCGAGGAGCTACCGGTACTGGAGTACCAGCAGCAAGTAAGAATACCAATACATAATATAAGTTTATTTCGATAAAGCATGCACGCTGACATAGTAATTTTTTTTCAGAAATTTTAATCCAATGAAAAAACAGCAGCATGCAAATATTATTGGGGCTTTCTTATTATTTAAATTATCTGTTGACCCCACACTAGGCCAATCATGTCCTGTAGCTTAAGACTTGAGGAACATTTTTTTACATTTATTGCTTTTCCTTTTTCTAAAAATCTGTCACTTTAAAATTAAAATAACTACTAGTAACATACAAATACAGACGCTAATTTATGTTAATGTTTTGTCTAGAAAATTAGAATTTTAGAGAAATGTAGTGGTAGAGTCCAGCTGTAGCTATATTATTGTATAGCTGTAGCACGAATGGGTCGGCTCGACCGGGGATGAACCACGCCCTCACAGAATACGAATACCAGCGTAAAATAGCAGCTTAAGGCTGCTGTGTTTCGTATGGTGAGTCTCGAGAACTGCAGACCCTTTTTACTGGAAACAAGGCATTCCATCTTAGACCTCAAGGGTGATAGCGCATTTGCATTTTGATTGAGGATAGATGTAGATGTCTATGCGCTACAGCAACCACTTACCATCAGGTGGACTCTGTGCTCGTTTGTCACCCTTATCCTATAAAAAAAAATGTAACTCATGGCTATTGCTGAAGTGTAGTAGGGAGTCCAGTAAAACGACATATAAAATGTAATTACAATTTCAGGGGTTCAAAACATTTTACTTGGGTGTACTTAAAATAATTACTAGGACAGGTTTCTTAGGAGCTCTTACAGAATACCAGCGTGGAATAGCAGCTTAATGCTGCTGAGTTTCTTAAGGTAAGTGTAGAGGACAGGAGACCCTTCAGGAGGAATCAACTTCAATTCACTATAAATTTCGAGGACATGTGAAGTCCGCCATTATACGAGTACTGTATTCGGATTGTGCGTGGATAATAAATAAAACTTTCTCAGAAGTGAGTATCCCAATACTAAAACTAGAGTAAATCACTACAATCCATCACAAGTTCACTGTTGAACATAGACTTCCTCGTGTAACCATCGTCTATCTGCATGTTTCATCAAATTATCGCTTCGTCTATGCCTAGCAGTGGGACATTAATTTATTCAATGCGTAGTACTCGTGTAAATATAAGAAAAATAATTGCCTATTGTAGTGCGTGAGACATTATTTATTACTCTAGAGCTGATCACGTAGGTTACTCCAAGCAAGATAAAAAACGCGACACGCGTGTGAACGCTAAGCAGTGTTGCCATGCGGGGTGCGGAGAAGGGTTTAAGAGAAATTATCGCGTATTACCTCAACGACGGTTTATCCTTACCACTGTAATTCTAATGACATGCCATTATGAACTTAAATCTAATTGTACGTGCAACAATGTAACGCATTTTGCTGACAGCACATTTTTATATATCACTCACACCGATCGCCCATAGTCAGTCAAGTTTTAGCGTAAGAACCATTGTGAAAGTGAATAGACGCTGTTGTTGAGCAGAACCTTAGTTTCATTCCTCTCCAAATTATTAACCCTCGCCACCGTGACTCAATGAAACACGGAATGAACGGTCGGACCGAATTATCTTCATACACAGAACTTTATAATATACTAGCTTTTTAAAAAACATTAAATGCCATTCCACGTCAAATTTAGCAAAATTCTATCACTTTTAGAGTCGCGTCGGTGATGTGTATTTATGTCAGTTTTTCAAATATTTTTTTTTAATTCCCAAAGACTATTGAACCTAGATGATTGAGGGACACGTGCATAAATAAGTTTTTCAGAATTGCATTAATATCCTGTGTCTAGAAACTCATTACTTACTAACTAATATACTTATTAACTAATACATAATGTCTCACCTCCTACAATATATAGGCAGCCTCTTTGCCTCTACAGCTTCTTTGACTCCTTGCATGTTTCATCAAATGATCACTCCGTTTATGACTAGCAGTAGGTCATAATATATAAGGTGTTACTATTCAGAAAATAACGCTAAAAAGGGCTTCATCCAAATTGTTTTAAGTGCTGTGATGGTTCATAGCGATAGTCGTCTTCGATGTTGTGACATGTGAGAGAAAATGACAGAAAAACAAAGAAGAAAAAATATATTTAAACCTAAGCATTTATTATACGAACATAATTTTTTACAGCAAATTCGCCTAATTCCCTACCTGGCAGCGACGTACGCTATGAGGATATTCTGCAATTGGTTCGGAGCCGAACATGTCAAAATGGCAATTGACAACATCACTGGTAGGTAAATAAATAAAAAAAACATGCGTTAGTGTCGTGGAACACTCGGTTAGAACGAAGTTCCTTTCGTAATATATTATTATTGATAAACGTATTATATTATTGATTAACAAATACAAATAAATGAATTACTAGCGTCTATTAAAATGAAGCGTCATTTAAAATAAAATAATATTTCTTGAATGGCAAGATAAGAAAAAGTGCGAGGGAGATGGATGTTATTCCATCTCGCTTCCTTATTCCGCCGCCAAGGCCATCTACACTACGTCAGAAGGGGTCGTGACGGAAAAATATTCAGTTTTTGTCGCCTAGCCGCCATCCGCCAAATCCGTACCGTCCGATAAAGAACTTCGTTTCAAAAAATGAAAAAATAAAGCAAATGCATACTTTGCTTAACTACACAAGAATTTTTGTCTTTTTAGAGTTTCCAACTTTATCTAGAGAGAATTAAAATTTAAAGCGACGAGCAAACCTCCGTTGTGTAGCGGCAAACCCCGCTTCATTTTCTGTAATCGAGAATGTTTATAATAAACTAATGAGCATGGACATAATATCTTGTTTTCACTACTGATTCGAAAAAAGCTTCTGTCGTCGGTTCAGATAATGGTGTGAATCACTCAAGTACTCTTTTTGAATGGGGTCTGTCGGACCATGGTGTGAGTCGCACACGAATATTTTTTTTAATGGGGCGATTCTGATTCGTATTCGACTGGACTACTAATACATCCGGTGATGTTAGTATTGTTAGCCTTTTGGCTTTTACATCTTCATCTGGTTCGCCTGGTTGTCCGATGGAAGAAAGGGGAGGGAGGTAAAGATCTAATACTTGGCAAAGTAAAAGCAATATCGCCGACATTTGTTTATCAATTTTATTGATTTTTTTTTTACTCAAAGAGTATACTACTACAGTACTCCCATATAAATGCAAACAACCAGCTTACTCCCGAACCAAGTTGAATCAAGATAGTTCTTGCAATTCACGAAGTCTAGCGGGCTCTTTATATATAATAAGGGTGACAAACTACAGTCCACTTGATGGTAAGTGGTTGCTGTGTAGACATCTACATCTATCATCGTTTGCGAATTAAAATGCAGATGCGTTGTCACCCGTGAGGACTAAGATGGAATGCGTCTTTTCCAGTAAAAACGGTCTCCGGTTCTCTACACTCACCATACGAAACACAGCAGCATTAAGCTGCTATTTTACGTTGGTATTCTGTGAGAGCGTGGTCCTTCCCCGGTCGAGCCGACCCATTCGTGCTACAACTATACTATTAATATAACTGCAGCATGGCTCTACCACGTAAAGAAAAAAAAGGAAAGGGCTTTACTTGTGGTAAACACACACACATATATATATATATATATATATACGTGTGAAAGTGTGCGTGAGACCAAAAGTGGGTATGGTTAGCTACGGGCCACTCGCAACTGATCGCTTCGTCAGACACGCACACTGTCTAATGTACAATGTACACGTTCAACCACGATTAAAGCCCGCTCGATTTCGTGAATTGCAAGTACTATGCTTGATTCACAACTGCGATCGAGTGAGAAGTACGAATATCTCGATCTTAAAGAAATGCTCGTTCAAATTCGAGTCACGATTTTGTTGCTCTCACGACTATATTTAAAGTTGGACTTTTTATACATTAATCACATATCGATTTTTAACAAATGTCAGGTCAAAACAACAATGCAGCGGGTCGCGGTATAGAGATGCATGCGCTTTCTTGTGCTACGAAACCCGTATGTGGCTGGACTGCACGGGACGGAATACAGAACTGCAGGGAGGCTTGCGGGGGACACGGATACCTGAAAGGTCAGTTCTTTGAATACAATCGGCAGTAATGATTTCTTTACGTAGTGTGTTAGTACTACTTTTTTTGCCTAGAAGTCTGTCATTATTCTGGATAGGTCTAAGCTTTGATTGTGATGGATTACGATCATGAAATATTTTTCAATATTTTTTTTAAAAAAAAAAAAATTATTTCTTTACGTAGTGTGTTAGTACTACTTTTTTTGCCTAGAAGTCTGTCATTATTCTGGATAGGTCTAAGCTTTGATTGTGATGGATTACGATCATGAAATATTTTTCAATATATATTGAAACTACCGGATCCGCCCCGACTTCACACGGTTGATTTCTGGATTTCGACAGCAGCATATATTAAACATTATCTTCGCACAAAATCTAAGATCATGCTTGTCCAATCTCTCATATTACCCATGATTGATTATGCAGATGTGTATTATCCAAATCTGTCCCAAGATCTTCTTAACAAGCTGGAACGCCTTCTTAATAACTGTATAAGATTTATTTTCGGGCTTCGTAAGTATGACCATATTTCGCAATATAGATCTAAGCTAAATTGGCTTACAATCCGTCAGAGGTGCAATTCCAGAATATGGCTAGTTCTTTTTTCCATTTTAAATGACCCATCTTCACCTTCTTATTTTAAGAGTAAATTTCACTATCTCTCCTCATCTCATGATAGGACCCTACGTTCTTCTTCTAACAACAAAATCTGTATTCCTGGTCACTTTACCTAGTTCTATGGTAACTCCTTCACAGTTCAGGCTACACGCCTTTGGAACTCCATGCCCGATGACATCAGAAAAGCACCCAATAAGTACGCTTTTAAAAAATTGGTCTGTAATCATCCATTGAAGACAACGCATTTTACATGATTCATCCATTTAATATGTATTGCTAAACAGACGCATATATTCTTAGGTATTTGTATGTACTAATTATATATGTATTTGAATATGTATATTTGTATGTATATATATGTCATATATTTGTATATATGTATGTATACGTCATATATGTATATCCTCTTCCCCTCGGACCGCCGTAAGGTGCAAACGTACTCACGACGTATTTTTTTTGATATTCCAAAAAGAAATTTTAAAACTGTGCTTATAAAATATTTCTAAGAAAATAGGAGTGCATAAATCTTAAAGTGAACTTGTATGGCCTTAAATAGCAACATCTTCGTGCAACTGCAGTCCTGGTACATTGCAAATTAACTATTCAGCCAGTACAGGTACTGTGAAAATTTTTTTTTTTGTTTTTAAATCTGCCAAATAACAGGCACTGGAAACGCCTCCATAAATACGCCCTAAGCAGAGACGTCTCAAAAAAAAAAAGAAAAAAAAAAAATTGCTACGCCCCTCACACGAAAGATCCATATACTTATAATCTCCTGGTACAAGAACGAAGCAATAAAGTGTTTTTGCACACAGAACATAATATTATTAAACGACTGCCAATTGATATTATCCTGGTATATATTATATTAAATAATAACCACGGCTAGTGCTCTCCCTGCCACTCTGTAAATTAATTGATAATTTTGATTACTGTTTGATCTTCATAATAGCCTGGTGATCTGAAAGTGACTTGATAAGTCTTTGAACTATATCATAAGCCAACTTGAATAAGATAACAGTTGTTCATTCATTATATCCTAGTATATTATGGCTACTAAAATGGACAAATCTCTATCGGACTCAAATCTTGCAGCGCAGTCTGAGAAATCGCCTCCTAAACTTATCTCAAAACGCAATAAAAGAAGGAGAGAAGATGATCTTGATTGCCAATTTAATAATTTCAAGGAAGAAATAAAATCAATGATAGAGGGTATGCTTTTGCCACAGGAAAGTGAACTCAAGAAAATTACACCCACTCTTATGGAAATAAAGCAAACAAATTGCAACATAGAAAACTCAATAGCTTATCTAGCAGCACAAAATGATGAATTTAAAAAGAAAATAGAATTGTTAGAAGAACAAGCTAGGAAGGACAGAGAATATATTACACTTTTAGAAGAAAAAATGGAAGACATTCAGAGAGGGAGTCGTAAAGCAAATATAGAAATAAAAAACGTTCCTAAAAATTCAAAAGAAACTAAAGAAGATTTAATAAACATGTTCTTGTGTCTGTCAAAAAATATAGACTGTAAGGTTACTAAATATGATATTAAAGATGTATATAGAGTTCAGGGGAAAAAGAAAGATGGAAAGAATGATATGCCAATTATAGTTGAAACTTCGTCCACAATTTTGAAAACTGAAATTTTAAAGATGTGTAAAATTTTCAATATAAAACACAAACAAAAACTTTGTGCCAAACACCTAGGTTTTACTGTCAAAGAAGATACACCTGTTTATATTTCGGAACATCTAACAGCAAAAGGATCTCGTCTATATTTTGTTGCGCGAGAGCTTACTAAAAGCAAAGCATTTAAATATTGCTGGACTGCTTATGGAAGAGTCTATATAAGAAAGGATGAGAACTCTCCAATTATAATTATCAAAAATGAAGCTCAAGTTCATAACTTAATGCAGAAAATATGACTAATTTTATACAAAGAATTTTGTTCAACAACTTGGCTTAACTTTAAGATAAATTTGTTATATTATAAGGATAAAACTATAGTAATTTTGTCAAAAACACACTTTTTCATGCATGTAAAATATTCAAAAAATATAAACATATACCCTCAATACATAAATAATCTCACAGTTACTTACTCTTTAACACAAACATCTTTCACACATACATACTATTTACATATACACGTACATAACTACAGACACTATACATACTATATATTTAATTATTTATCACATGTAGCAATTAAATATATGCACAATGTAAATAACACTATATTATGGGATTTTATATTACGCATTTAGCAGTTCTGGGAAAAACACAAAGGATATTATATAATATCTTATATGTCTAAGTCGATTAATACACTGAATGAAATAGATGTACTGGATACAGCACATGCATATGAATATAAAATTGAAGATTTTTCGCAATGTTTTCAAATCCAAAATACTGACTTCACGATAATTTCGCAAAATATGAGAAGCATTTATTCTAACATCGATGATCTAATCATTAACTTGACTTACTTTGAATTTAATGTTGATATTATGGTACTCACCGAATGTAGACTAAAGTCTAGAAAACCAATCCCCCAAATTAATAATTATACATCCTTTATAACCACTAACCATCTTAATCAATGTGATGGAGTAGTTGTATATGTGAAAAATAGTCCTGATATTAATTTTAGCGTAGAGGAGGTAAAACTTAGAGATGCATCATGTTTACAAATTAAAATTTATAATATAGTCATTCTTGGCATATATCGTTCTCCTTGTAATAATAATGCAGAGAATTTCATAGACTCTCTCAATCTTCATTTAGAAACAATAAAATCATGTAGAAATATCATAATAACTGGAGATATAAATATAAATATATTACATAAAGAAATCGAAAACACATATGAGCGCACAAACAGATTAAGTTATCTTAACATGTTAACAGTGCATGGCATGCTTCCAGGACATACACTACCAACGAGGAAAAAAACATGCTTAGACCATTTCTTTATAAAATTAGACAAAAGCAAAACTGCCACATGTGTCGTTTTCAACACTACTATAACAGATCATCACATGATTTTTCTTAATCTATCGCAAGTTGCAAATGTAGAGAGCAATCCTAAAACAAAATCAACTATTGACTTCGAGCAAGCATTTAACCTGCTAAATACTAAAAATTTATTAGATTTGACTTCTTGTAACGATCCTCATTCCGTGGCTGAATGTTTGATAAATAAAATAAGAGACTGCATATTAAAAAGTACCATAATAACCTTAATTCCGCGAAAAAATCGTACCATAAAACCCTGGATAACGTTAGGCGTATTGCGATGCATAAAAAATAGAAACAGTATGCAAAAAAAACTAAAATCTGACCCTGATAATGAAGTACTAAGAATAACATATAAAAGGTATAGAAACTACTGTAACAATCTTATTAAAAAACTTAAACGTAAATATAATAAAGATCAATTGGCAGTGGCCAGCAAAAATCCCAAAACTTTATGGAAAACAATTAATACAGTAACATTTCGAAAACAAAACAACTCGCAAAGCTTAGGATTATTAAAAATAAAATCTTCACCCTATGATTCAGTTAATAACATTAATAACTATTTTGCTACTATTGGACAAACTTTAGCTGAGAAAATTCTTTTAGATAGAAACATGGTACATAATATAGAGGATACTTATAACATAACTTCACAAGTATCATCTTTTGTGCTTCAAGAAACTGACCCTGCCGAAGTATATTCTATTTTAATGGATTTGAAATCTGATAGTGCTCCCGGATGGGACAGTATACCAACTAAATTTCTTAAGCTAACCAGTTCTGTTGTAGTTCCAGTTATTTCACACTTGGCTAATCTGTGTTTTAGGCAGGGTGTTATACCGGCATCACTTAAGCAAGCTATTGTTACGCCTGTATTTAAGACTGGAGACAGAGAAAATACATGTAATTATAGGCCCATTTCTGTTCTACCTGTTATTTCTAAAATAATAGAAAAAATTATAAATAAACGCTTAATAGATTACTTAAAAACATTTAACATCCTGTCTGAATCACAGTTTGGTTTTAGACAGGGACTATCTACTGAAGATGCTGTTTCTGCCTTAACTACTCACATTACTAGAAATATAGATCATGGTAAAAAGTGTCTAGCGGTCTTTCTAGACCTAAAAAAAGCGTTTGATACTGTCTCTCATTCTATTCTCATTCGTACGCTAGAAAGCATAGGAATAAGAGGAGTTCCACTTTCACTATTTGTTAGCTACATCCAGGATCGCAAACAGTGTGTAAAAATTGGAAAATATGTTAGTGAAGAGGCTAATATAACTTATGGAGTTCCTCAAGGTAGTGTTCTTGGTCCAACGCTGTTTTTGATTTATATAAACGAACTTTGTAAAATT